GCCTTTGGATGCAGCATCTTGGGTGAATTCTTAGGAAAAAGAACAATGATAATACGGTAATCTACTACTTGTAAACATACATGTATGTTAATTTGATCATTATGATTAGACCTATTGCATGTATTCAGTATATCAGTTAGAAATATAACAATACGGTTTGGACTGATACAAAACTTTTGTGGTAATCACTTGTGTCTTCTGATGTCAAAGACAGAATATTGTGGGATATAGAATTAGAATGGAATCAGCTCAGAACACTTAAAATTTTTCATCATTCTTCTTGTGCAACTTACCATCATTTTCAGTCAACATGTTCATAAATGCCATCTGTATTTCCTTCAGTTTGTTTTGAATTGCAGGATGGGCACCTGATCTCTTTACTAGTGATAGTAGCCATATACAGCTAGCCTAATAACAAAAACAGCAGCATAATGCTGAGGCATGTAAGAGTAGTGTGGGAAGTATTTTCAAAATAAGTAGTGAAAGCAAGTGTGGGCCACAATTAAAAAAGGGCAGCTGGTGTCATCAAGTCAAAGTAAAGTGCAACATTTTGACTCACCAGCACTTGTTATAGAAATGTACATTATTTAATTACTTACACACATCTCCAACATGTGGTACTTCATTAGTTACACACCTGTCTAACATGTGGTACTTATTAGTTACACACCTGTCTAACATGTGGTACTTTATTAGTTACACACCTGTCTAACATGTGGTACTTCATTAGTTACACACCTGTCTAATATGTGGTACTTTATTAGTTACACACCTGTCTAATATGTGGTACTTTATTAGTTACACACCTGTCTAACATGTGGTACTTCATTAGTTACACACCTGTCTAATATGTGGTACTTTATTAGTTACACACCTGTCTAACATGTGGTACTTTATTAGTTACACACCTGTCTAACATGTGGTACTTTATTAGTTACACACCTGTCTAACATGTGGTACTTTATTAGTTACACACCTGTCTAACATGTGGTACTTTATTAGTTACACACCTGTCTAACATGTGGTACTTCATTAGTTACACACCTGTCTAATATGTGGTACTTTATTAGTTACACACCTGTCTAACATGGGGTACTTCATTAGTTACATATCTTCTCAACACAATGTCTAATACCCATTCCATTTCATCTGCTTTTCCAATGTCTTTCACAGAAAACTCAGCCTCTTCTACTGTCCACATGTCTCTAGCAGCAGATGAACTGCTACCTAATGCAGCAAAGTTAAGTGCTTCACCAACTGAGAACTGCAGATTGACTTGTCTTTCCTATTGAGAAGCAAGTTAGTTGCATTTATGAAAATGAAAAGAAAAGCTGTAAATTACCTTAATTTTACTTGAAATAGTTTTCGTTATTTTCACTGAAGGAATGAATCAGTAATAAAAATGAGTGAAAATACTTTAAAATTGTCACAATATTTTTCATTCAACTTGTCACAAATACAGTATTTGACAGTAGATTTAATAAATTACAATAAATTTCAATAGGGCAGAGAAAATGGATAACACAACTAGTGGTCCAATAGTGGCATGGTAATGTTAGTAACAAGCTTGATTCAGTGAATGACGTAGAACATAACAGATGGTATGCACATCTAATTACACAACAAAAAAT